AAACATAGAGGCCGTCAAGGCCTCTGACCTACTGTACAAAATGAACCTTTGTCTACAAAGCCTCTAAGATTATTTGACATCAATTAGGACAGGGTACCGTCCTACCCATAGTCTGTAACAAAACTCTAACACGATGACTCATAGACTCGGCTGCACTCCGAATGAGGTGGAGTCTTACCGATCCTTCGTTGAATGCCAATCTCGTCTACTAAGAGAGCTCGTCAAACTGATTATCTATACCCGCAGGCATGAATGCAACACCCACAACAAAAAAATGTCAGTACGAATAATGTACTGAGTATGTAAGGCATGTAAATAAATATATAAAGAGCATGGAAGAAATATGGAGTAAAGGACTCAACCTGTAAGTCTGGATAACTCTGTAAATCATGAAATACTTATAGTGTCATACATATGCGTATGAATGTCATGTCGTGCATAGGTACATATGTTCATAATATCATCAAGCCTCCAAGGGCATCCCATCATATCATCTCGGCCACTGTGGGCAAAAAGTCAACGCATACCAGCTGATCAGGTGGTGGTGCGTATATAACGTCGTAACCTTTTTCCATATCCCATATACATATATATACATATAAATATGTGTATATAACGTCGTCTGGTCATGGGTCCATGTACATGTATAAATGAATGAAATGCATGAAAATATGTTAATAATCTCAATATTCCTTTCGGATAAACTTTATCAACTGCGTATTATTCTGAGACCCATGAACAAAAGATATAATAATATGTCACATAGAGAATTAAGAACATAGAGACCCCTAGTATTTTTATGAATAGAGTCGTCTATGAAAGCTGTGCGTTTGCTCGTTTCATTGGTATCATTTGGATCATGCCAAAAAGAAAGAAGGAATAGCCTTAACATACCTAGAGTAGGAAAAAATCGTATGATATTCTTGGGAAAGGTTGCACAATGTCTTTGACATTATTAGACTTAGGTCCTCTTGCAGCACTTGTTCCATCTTCTTTATGATTTAGGAGCTAGGATGTTTCAAGAAGAATCTTTTGATTGCAACTAAAGCACCGAATCAACATTAAAATAACAACGTTCAAACCTACGCTTTTCTTTTAAAAGGAACTCTTTGAATAAATATATAAGATTATATCTACACCTAACTAAACTGAGAGAAGTAACAAACTTTGAACTCCCTAAGGCTCTATTGCCTATGGACATAATAAGATCTGCATGTAATACTGATAAACCTGTATCACTGATGTTAATAGATAGAAAGAAAATTCCAACCTAAGGGTATCCTAAGAAAAAGAGATGATATACTAGCATCATGTACCATTAAAAATGAATATCAGAATCAGTGACAGCTTAGCTTCATCTTTTAGGACTGGTCACTAGCGCCTGAAATTAAGTAGAACCGAACAAGGAAATATTTTTCAAAGAGATGTCAAAGAAAATGAATAGCATCATATGTTTGAACTAGCATGATACCAAATAAACTTAATGACTTAACAAGCAGAGAAGATTGTCCTTTTATACTACTCATTCTGCGGAAGGCAGTAACCCCTATATATCAATAATTTTCATAAGAAAAGCTATGTATATTGATTAGGATTGTAGAGAAAATGAATGAATAGGAGTGATATGTCACATTGAATGGGAATACACGTGGTTTAAAAATGCAGTAGTTGCTTTTCTTAACACATGGATACATGTTTTTGTTTTATTGAAAAGTGAGTTAGTACCAATCCAAAAGTCTTAATCAATTAGTTAATCTTTCACTAAAATCAATAATTACCCAATTATCCGCATAATAAAAATTATCTCAAATTACTTAAAATACTACTCACTTTTAACATATATATATATATATATATATATATATATATATATATATATATATATATATATATATATATATTACTATAAGATACTTTACTATCATGGTCATGTGGTAGCATATAAAACTAATACATACACTATTATTTCATTAAAACATTCATGTAAAAAATCCATATATTTTCTCAACTTCTAATTTTCATAATCTCATATAAAAAATACAAGTTTTCGTACGCATAATTCTTATAATGGTAAAAAAATAACCTTCTTTTCTTGTGAAAAAGAATAATTCATATCTTTACAATTAAAAAAATCTCATAAACTTTTCTTATATTATGTGTATAATTTAAAATATATACGAAAGTAGTAATATTAATAACTATATAAAATCATATTTTTCAAACTATTTTTTTTTACAAAAATGTTCCACTCAAAATACTTTATCAAATATATATATATATATATATAAAGGTATCAAGGTTGTTAAACTTACGGGGTGTAACACTTAACATGAGATTGTGGAGATAAACTATAGCTTACTGAGTTATTCGCCACCACAACCTCACCGCCCAATATAATGAAACCCTAATTCTTCGCTCTTCAGATATTGTGACACAATGCAAAATAACTTAACAAAGAAAAATTTCACAAGACTTGAGAATATTTCTGAATGGATTTTTACAAAATCCTTAACGTCTTTAAATAAGGCAAAAACCAGTCCGGGGGTTCAATTATTTGAGGTTTAGCGTCTTAGCTTAAGAAGCTATACCCAGTTGAATTATTGTTATGTCAGTTAATCCCAGAAGAATTATTTGTGGGCCCACATAATATATATATATATATATATATATATATATATATATATATATATATATATATATATATAGCGTCTTAGTGAAGAACGTTATATATATAGCGTCTTTTTAAAAGGCGCTATACTTAACTGGCCAAATGGCCATTAAGGTATATCTATATATAGTTTGGTCACTATGTTTTTTTCCACATATTTTTGTTCTTTGTTCCAAAAGAACCACATTTTGGTTCCAGACTCCCTAATTGACACCCTTAATTTCAGATTGTTATTAGGTAGTTTAAGTAAGTTGTGTTCATATTTGCCCAAAAACCACGATCCCTCGCAACTTCGTTGCTTTTCATAAATTGTATGTTTCTCTAATAGAAACTTAAATTGCACTTTGTAGTTTTGGGGTATTTACTTTTGTGCAAAAAGCCTATGATTCAGTGGAGTGGATATATTTGGAGCAGATCATGGTGGAACTACGATTTCCTACACAATTCATCACATGGATCCTAGTGTGTTTGCAAACAGTCAATTATACTATATTATTAATGGTGAACCATCAGAACCTTTCAATGCAGCAAAAGGACTCAGACAAGGAGATCCCGTGTCTCCTTTCCTCTTTGCCATTGTAATGGAGTACTTGAGTAGGAGCCTAAAAAGAATGACAAATGTGGCATGCTTTCATTATCATCCAAGATGTTCAAAACTAGCAATCACATACTTGTGTTTTGTTGATGATCTGTTGCTCTTTGCCAGAAGTGACATCTCATCAGTGGCTGCTCTTCATCAGTGCTTTAAACAATTTTTAGAAGCCTTAGGTCTAAAAGCAAACTTAGGGAAAAGCTCAATATATTTTGGTGGAGTGAGTAGAGAAGACAACGAATGAATTCAGCATGAACTGGGTTTTTCTAAAAGTGATCTACCTTTTAATTACCTTAGGGTTCCTCTGCCGACCAAGAAACTTTTCCTAATACAGTGGCAACCACTTATAGAGAAGATAGTAGTAAGGATATCACCATGGACTGCAAAGAAATTATCCTATGCGGAAAGAATTCAACTTGTACTAACTGTTTTATTTGGGGTGCAAGCCTACTGGGCTCAACTTTTTGTACTGCCTGCTAAAGTCCTAAAAACCATTGATGCCTACTGTAGAAGCTACATTTGGTCAGGCTGCAATACCATCACCAAGAAAGGCCTGGTTTCCTGGGATAAAGTCTGTGCTCCAAAAAGTATTGGTGAACTTAGCTTGACAAACTTACATATGTGGAATAAAGCGGCTATAGCAAAAAATTATTGGGATCTAGCACACAAGCAGGATAAGTTATGGATCAAATGGATACATGCATATTAGATCAAAGACCAAACAATAAATTCTATGACTATACCTCAACAGGCATGCTGGATGGTTTGGAAGATTATGGAAGCTAGATCAATACGGGGAAGATATACAATGCAATTTCAGGAATGGAAAGAGTATCACAAGACAAATATACATACAACTGATTGGTTAGGAAACTAGAGTGCAATGAAAATGCATGATGTTTGGCAATGCTGCTCGACCAAAAGCAAGATTTATACTATGGTTGCAGCTACAGGGCAGGCTTCTTAGTGCTGATAGGCTAACCAAATGGGGAATTGAGATAAATACCCAATGTGTGATGTGTCAAAGCTCAGAGGAAACAAATGAGCACCTCTTTATGGAGTGTGAATTTGCTAAAGAAGTATGGCACATAGTGAATCAATGGGCACAAGGAAGACCAATGAATGCAAGGGGGTGACAACAACATCAACATGAGATTATTAGTAGATCAAAGGGGAGAACTCAAGCTGCACAGATTTTCAAGATGATATACACGGAATATGTTCATAGCATTTGGATAGAAAGAAACATGAGAATTTTTGAAAAAACGTACAGAAATAGCGAGTCATTAGTAAGAGATATTGCTTGTATTTGTAGTATGAGGGCTCCAACAAAAATTAGAAAAATAGTTCATACATTTAGATTCTAGAAAAGTTGTAGTAGTGGAACAATTACTTGGTTAGCTAGCTCTGTTAGTTAGCTACGATTTTGTAAAGTTTCTTGTTGATGAATAAAATATTTAGTTATCAAAAAAAAATATTTACTTTTGTTATTGGCACGTCCACACCTTGTATCATTCTCAAAACTCTCTAGAATCTTTTTTTCGTAATTGAAAACCTCTATATACTCAATTCTCTATAACTTCAATGAAAAAAAAAAAACAGCTCAAACGTATATAGTTTAAAAAAATGTAAAAATTATTTCAATTTTTTTAAAGAAAAATCTCAAACAAATATTAGAAGAGCCGAAAAAGAGTTGAAGAAAAAGGCCTTTTTGACAACACTGCGTCGAGTATTCGTATCTCTGTAAAAGTATATATAAATACAGTGACTCCTTCCCGGAATCCTCTTTCGTCACTCTGTTAACATCATTCTCTCTTTTTGTTTCTTTTTTCTCTCTCTAAATTCCTCCAACATTAGACTTTCTCTTTCTAGTTTTCTCATGCATGGACATTCATCGCGGAATTGGAAAAATTAGGGCACGAAAATTTCGTCGATCGATGTTGTTGAAGCTGTAAGGGAAGATGTGATTTCTGATATATTTTTCCGGTAAATTTGGTGTAAAGTTTCTACGAAAAGATCAAAGGAAAAAAGTGTTATTCGCATGAAAGGACCGTTAGATCGAACAAAAGTAGTGCTGCGGCACTTGCCGCCAACAATTTCTCAGTCTATGCTTGTTGAGCAAGTTGTTTCCCGATTCACTGGTCGCTACAACTGGTTCTCTTTTCGTCCTGGCAAGTCCAGGTTAGGGTTTCGAGTTTTTGTTGTTAAAACATTAGATTTTAAATATGTTTCCTGGCTTTTGTAGTTATACTCCATCCATTTTACATATGCATAGTATTGTGATTGATTAGGATTGAGATTTTGAAATAAGTATTGTTCACATAGAATTTTGATAGTTCGATTGGGTTCTGTGTACTTATGATTGTTCATGTAAGTATTTTGGGGTACATAAAATTGGATATTATTGACTAAAATACAGCATCAAGGAGGCGCCACTGTACAAAGGTTTCTGTACACCAATAATTCATGTTGTGTAAGCATATTTTAGAAAAGATAAAGATAAGGTTTTATCCTTAAAAACTTTTGTAGTTCCTCTCTGTCCTTAGTGTTCGTTTAGGATAGGGGATCAGCAGTGTCACTGATTGATTGGTTATTTGTTTTTTATTTTGGGTCGCTGTCCTGTGTGTATGTGTGAGACAGATGAGGTTTTGGCCGGAACTTTTTGCGGAATGTTCGCACTAGTATGGTATATTCTGTTAAAAGGTCGGCGTGTTTGGGAAGATTAATACGCCATAAAGAGAAGAACAAAAGCATAACTAGTGCATTAAATATCTTCTCATTTACTTGCATGAAAAGAGCATGGTTGCAAATGATATCGTTGTCGGTGTAGTTTGTCTGCTTCGTTCTTTCGTAGCTTGTTCTCTTTTGATAGGGACCACCAGGGTCTTCTAGCAGTTGATTTATCTGTACCTATGATTTTGTCCTTGCTCTCCCTTCTTTAATGTTCCTTTTTATTTGGTGATCTCTTTTGGTTGGTAAAATATTTTGCGAATTTAGTATGAGCGACTACAGTAGTTTATCCGGATAAGGTGGTAGCCTTTATTGCCTTGACTTGTATAGATTTTTCGTTAAAAATAATGATGGTGTGCTGCATTTTGAAGAAATTCGTGAACTAGATTGCTACCTCTATGAGAGGGATTTTCAGCGTCAGCACTGAATCTGATTTAAAGCATTATCGTTTATCCAGTTCTTTCCTTATTTTGTTTTCTTAGGATACGTGGAGGTTCGGTTTTTTGGCAATTAATTCATCAGATCCTTATCAAGAAAACTAACTGAAATTTATGGTTTTGTCTTTGCTCTCTCACTTATTGTAGCCTTTGTTAGTTGGAATTTTCGTTGTTGTATGGTATATCTTTTTTTCAAATTTATAGGCAGTTGAATGGTTTTGCAGTATATGTCTTGCAGAATTTGGTGATCATCTTTACTGCCTTGACTTGTTAGACTTTAGTCAGAAATACTAACTAGTGCGGTGCTGTTTCAAAGATAATGTGCATCTGTAAGAAGGGTTCTCACTTTGTGAAGGCAAATTAAAAATTTAAAACTCCCTTATTTGTGATTTTGTCCTTACTCTCTCACTATCTTCTGAATGGTATGCCTTTTTTCATATTTGTCTGAAAGAGGGGGTTGAATGTTTTATCAGAAAAGGGTGATCACCTTTATTGCCTTGACTCACAAATAAAAACTGATGAGGTGCTGTTCTGAAGAGAATGCTGAACTTGATTATATAGCCACTTGTTTTTTGATAACCGATCAAATAGCTACTTGTGCTAAAGGGTCAACTGCCTTTGGTTAATATAAGTGGACGCGCAGATGTATATTCCATATAATATCCTCTGCTGTGGAATGTTTAAGTTCTTAACATGGTAAAGTTTGTCCCAGAGGACATTTATTTAGTCTTTTACCAGGCTATTGACAGATTAATGAGTCTTGGATACCATCATTTTCCCCCCTGATAAGTGAGTCTTGAAGATCACCCTGTATTGAGTGTTTAAACATGCTTTGGATGGGTAAATTCCTCATAACTTCTCTATCATAAGCCATATAGATGCACACAAGACATCTGAGAAACAGTCATTACGAGAGAATTTATCTCTATTTATCATATTTACATCTAGTCAATGTGTGGATTATACACATTCCTGTAATTTTTCAAGATTATCCTAGTCAATAGTAACGGTTTGAATAAAGTCTGTCATTTTCCTTTGACAGGCTAGCTAGTGTCGGACTTGTATTTTTGTGTATAACTTATGTACATAGTTACATATATTGTTATATGGATGCTTTTCGTGGTTTGTCTTTCAGTTGGATCAATGTTCTAGATGGATTTCAGTTTGTTTATCTTTATGTCCATTTATTTATTTATTTACACTGTTGGAGTAGGATTATCAGCTATGTCGCAATTAAGAGCAGATAATTGTGCCAGCATGTTATGTACACAACATTAACTTAGTATGCTTTAGATTGCCAAAGTGCACTCCTTTTTCCCTCAATGTCAGTGTCTCTTATAGTTCCCTTCAGGCCTTCACCTCAAATTTTCTCCTGCAGCCAGAAGCATCAAACCTATTCAAGAGCCTATGTTGACTTTAAGAGGCCAGAAGATGTTATCGAGTTTGCCGAGTTCTTTGATGGACACGTTTTTGTAAATGAGAAAGGTAAAGCTCAAGAACAGTTACAAGAGCTTAGTTGGGCTTAATTGGGTATTCCTCCTTCCAGATGATATTTAAAATTGTCTGAAATTCATTTCAACATTCGGTACAGATTAAAGTTTTTTGGTCCTGTTAACTGTGACTATGTAAAGAAAATGTTGATCCCTTGTGTTATCTAGTTCCTGATAGTTCCCTGTCTCGAATTATTTGGTCTTTTATTAGCCAATTGTTTCTTACTTTCGTGTGTGTCTATTCTAGGCACTCAGTTCAAAACTGTTGTTGAGTATGCTCCTTCACAGCGTGCTCCAAAACGCTGGTCCAAGAAGGATGGCCGCGAAGGAACCATCTTGAAAGGTACTAAATTAATGTGCAGATTACATCTGACCTAGCTATCTCCATCTAGTCTGCAGTCACAGTTAAGTTTATTGATGCACTTGTAGATCCTGAATATCTGGAGTTCCTTGAATTTATTGCAAAGCCTATCGAGTATCTTCCGAGTGCAGAAATACAATTGGAAAGAAAGGAAGCTGAACGAGCTGGTTAGTTAGACTATTTCCAGAATGTTGATGCTGTCCTCCCGCAATAAACTGATATTTAATCTATAAAATGAGAGATTGTGGAGAGCAAACTATGGTGGTGGAGTGCACTGAAATTTAAGTTTCACTTTTTCGTTGGTTTTTAGGTTCTGCAAAGGATGCTCCTATAGTTACTCCTTTGATGGACTACATACGTCAGAAAAGAGCTGCCAAGAGTGGAGCTCGGGTAGGAGTTCTCCTATTATTAAATTTTAACCTGTTAGATTTTCATTTTTCCAAATAGAGAAGCATTTCGCGGTCTCTTTCTCTCTCCCCCTCTCTTGGTACATTCACCTTCCCCCGAGCCTGCCTTGGGGAGTCTTCTGGCACTGTTGTTATTTGGTACACGAATGCTTTCCCTCCTTCCCTTAGAGAGAAAGAGGTTAGAGAAAATAAATGGGTCTTGTGTGGCATTAAAGTACTTCTGTTTTTCATCTGAAGAGTAGAAAATACATTTCATCATTCTGCAATGAATTATTGTAATGTCAACCTCCTCTTTCATTCGATACTTTGGCTTCAATCATGATCAGTGCTCCAAGACAATCTAAGAAGCTTGCAATTTAATATCCTATTCTGTTGGAGGCTGATTACTTTCTTGGAGACAAGCATGAATGTCACCCTTATATATCTGTTGACAATGAGCTTTTCCATTAACCATCTATTACATTGTCTACACTTCTCAGGGGTGTATACACTCAATTCTGTTTAATAAAAAACAATGATGGTACTGCTGATGAGTTGGTGCATCTTCCTCCCAGGTTTAAAGATTCGTACTAACTTTTCATCCTTGGTCTTTGACAGAAATCTCTATCTAATGGGAGACCGACCAGAAGAGCGGACGGCACATCCTCAGGAAGTCCTAGCTCAAGTGCGTCTAAACAAGGCTCTGAAAAGAGAAGGGTTTCTACAACCATGGTAAGGGTGTCGTCTTCCAATCCAACTTCTTGGCAATTGGTACTCTTGGTATTAGATCTATCTATTTCATGCAAATAGCTCTGCATTTGATCTTCTCTCAGTTGCAACATCTGTGATCTATGTGCTTGTGAAAATATTGATATATCTGCTTTGACTTCTGCTTCAGCTTTTTGCTGTTGATTTTCCTGTCCTCTAATAATTGATTGAGGATATTTTTCTTATCGAACTCTTGTTCGTGCGGTAATAAAGTTTGTGCATGCATGTTTGTTTTTATATTTTCAAATATGATGTGGACAAGTAGCTTCTGCTTTGGGGGATATTTCTTTTGATGGATATGTGGTTTGTGATGCTTTACCTTCCATCACTTATGGAACTGTTTGATCATACAGTATGTTCTTCGAGATAGTTCTAAGGCTGGGAGTGGCAAAGACAGAAGACATATTTTAGTTCCAAAACGTGATGGTCAGCAGCAGGCTGAGAAGTCTGGTACCTCTGCTCCTGGATCTGGGGCTGATGCAGTTGAAGAGGAAACTGGTATGCAGTATGCCTACACTTTAGTTGTTAGTTGTAATCACATGTTTGCCGTGCTTGCTTTCTCTATTAACACCACATGAAAGTGCCCTTGGAGCAATGAGAGCACTCTGCATTTCTGCAGGTGACCAGGCTTCGATTTTGGAGCCAGCCTCTCCAATGAGGCATTGGTGTCCGCCCATTTATACATGCTCTTTTTAGAAGCAAGGAACTATCATAAGCACAAATTGACGTGGTTTTGGAATTTTCTGATAAATAAAGATATACTTTACGTACCACTGCAGCATGAGAGCGCTGGGGGTATACAATGGTACAGCAAAAATCTTAGTCACCTTAAGCAGGAAACTAACAAAATCATCTTATCATTTGTATAATGGACAATAACATTACATCAAAAAAGACAAAAGCTCTAAACGTGTGGTCTCCTTTCCCAAGATAACACCTGCATAATGTTCTCCACGATGGCGAAATACATAAATAGCCCTTTTAAGTTGTCCACAACAATCACATAGACATTTTAACAATGCTAATGACCAGATAGACACCTCTACTTGGTTATAAGTGTATCTTTTGAACATCTCGTTGGCTAAGGGGATTGATCTGGAGTGAAATTGCAGGGGTAAGGGGATTGTGGGAAGGTCAATGGGTTTTGCGAGGTGATTTCAATGTTTGCAGATTTGAGAGTGAAGGTTCAATGGCAACAGAAGATCAAAGGCCATGAAGACATTCTCAGACATCATCCAGGACCTAGATGTCATTGATCTTCCCCTCCAAGGGGCACAATACACTTGATTGAGAGGTGAAAACAGGTTGCAGGCATCAAGGCTTGAAAGGTTCCTCATCTCACAAGAGTGAAATGAAATTTTCAGAGCTGTAAGGCATATTTCAATGCCAAAGGTGATCTCCAATCATAGGCCAATCCTATTGGAATGTGGGAATTGGGATGCAATTCCTTCCTACTTCAAGTTTGAGAGTATGTGGTTACAGTCGGATGGATTTCCTGGACAAACTAAACACCTGTTGGCACAGTTACACATTCACTGGTAGTTCAGATTTTATCCTTATGCCAAAGCTGAAAAGCCTTAAAAAGGATATCACCACTTGGAGGAGGAGTTTGGAAGAGTGGAGACTAGAAAGTCCAGGGCTTTGGATGAGCTCATGATGCTAGAACAAGCCACAGGACGGCAACTGAGCTAACTGAGGCCAGTCAAATGGTGAACCTGAGAGTAGAGCTTCAACAGATAGCCAGAGTGGAGGAGATATCACGGAGACAGAAATCTAGATGCCTTTTGGCTTAAGATAAGAGGGCATGGGTTCTTAATCTAGACCTTCAAGCTGTTTATTTTTATTTTTTGTTTTTTAGCTTTTAAAAAAAGCTGATTACTTTTTTTTTGATAAGGTAAATACTTCCATTAATATGGAGTAATCTCATGAATACAAGCAGTATACCAAGTTGTAGAGAATCTACAACATAATATGATTCCCTACGAACAATACCTGATCTTTTATACAAACTGGAACTTCATGGGTGCACCAAAAAGATACTAGGAATGAGAGACTATTCCCTTCAAGCTGTTTAGTTGTGTCAAACGGTAACTTGAAACATGAAACGTTCCTCCCTCATAAGGATTGGTTTTCTTGTTTATGATATATTCTTTAATCTTATTGAACTTATGAACGATAACAGTCTTTAACATTTTTAAAATTTATGATTTTAATCATATCATATCAATATTTTTTATGATATTAATCAATCAGCATCTATGCTCTGAAAATTGTCTATCTAAGGGATGACTAGCTTTTGGTTAAATTGAATTACCAAGTTATTACACATGATTTTTCAATTCTGTCGGGGTCTGAGTGATATCTTGTCCTCGAATCCTCTCTATGCCTCTTATGCCATTTTTATCTATGATATTACAATCAATCTGTCTCTGAAGATTGTCTATCTAGCTGATGACTTGTATTATCTTTTGATTGAACTGAATCATGGAGCATAAAACATGGTCTTTTTATGGTACTCTGCTTAGTAAGGGTTTAAAAATTTGGATTGTTGATCTCCTTTCTCTTCCATTCTTGACATTCATTACTTATTCATCAATGTTTAAGGTCTTATGAATTTGTTCCAGGTGGAGCTGCTGATGTTGGGAAGAAGAAAATCCTGCTCTTGAAGGGAAAGGAAAAAGAAATTCCTAACGTAAGTTTTACTTTAGCTCTAAATTTTTTTTTTCTGGGGGGGGGGGGGGGGGGGTTGCAAAACGTAAAATGAAATTAGCTCCCCTGTGCCTTAGGTTGGGGGAACTCCATTTCCTTTCATAAGCTCTGGAAGTGAGAGACGTCTAGGTGTTAGAGCATGTTTATTTGTAAAATAACTGTTGCTAATCTCTTTTAGTCAACTAGGCGATCATCCCTCATACTCTTTATCCCAAAACTTCCTGACGGATATGTTCACAGAATCGGTGGGAATGTTTCTGTGCATATGGATTGGTCCATCAAACCTTTGGAGGTGATCTAATCTGCGATGTTATTTACTTCTAAGTCACAGTAAGGCTTTCATTTGTATTAAAAAACACTGATCCGTTCGACACAATTGTAACTTAATGCTGTAATGCACGTGGCAAGACGATCTGGCTCACCTTGACAAAGAAAATGTGGCCTTGAAGTAGTTTGAGGTTCTAGATGTGGAACGGAATCCCATGTTAAAGATAGTTCCTTCCTCTTAATACATAGTCCCCCCCCCCCCCCCCCCCCCCCCCCCCTAAAAAAAAAAAATTTATGTCTTGATACTTTGTGCTAATGTTATTACTATTGAGTGGTCACCAGACTCCACTATGTGGGATTACACTGGGTATGTTATTGTACTATTGAGTGATCTGCTAAAGGTCAAAAGTTCTGTTAATTTCATCTGTTTCTCTGATGAGGAGGGAATCCCTTGTTGTTTAGTTAGTTGACTTGTTTTAATTGATTATGTAATGGATACTTGTATCCAACACTTTAATGTATACAACCAACTTATGTATATCAATAAGAACGATTTGGTTCATCCCGACAAATGTCTCCTGGGAAATTAATTTCAGTTTAGATTTTCTGCAACTTTGAACTTATTAGTCTTTTCTTTCCTTCATAGGTTTCTAGTGGCTCATTGATTCAGGGCAATGTGGCACCTATTGTAAAGAATACAATAACATCAGCTGCTCCGCAACAGAACCAGCGCCGAGAGGCAAGTGGAAAGATCATTAGAAGTATTCTTCTCAAGGATGCTCATCAAAATCAGGCTCCTTCTGCATCCCAACAAGAACAGCACAGCCAGGATAAGGACAAAAAGCCTCCTAGGCCACCAAGCGTGCAGTTGTTTCAGAAAGAAATTAACGGAGTTAATGAGGATAAGGTTGTTGGAACTGATTTGCATGTTGTCCACACTGAAAAGCAGGAAAGACGCTCTAGGATTAGGGATAGGCCTGATCGTGGTGTTTGGACTCCTCTTCGTCGTTCCGATAGGTTGCATGCTAGTGATGAATCCTTGTCTTCATCTACCTCTCAATCTTCTGAAGTGCTGGATTCTCTTGAAGGTTTGTTCACTAGTATCACTCATGTTTGTTATTCTTGACCTTTTGCCAGATGCTAGATTTTCTAATTATGTTGGTTGACAGAAGACTATTCTGCCTTTTGTTTTCTTGTCTCTCATTTGTTATAAAGAAAGAGAGTATATTCATCATTTTCTTACATCTCTTTAGTTTAATTTACATGTTTTAATGTTTGTTAAGGATTAGGGTTTACTCGGTTTTCTTTTCCCTGAAATCTTCCCCTTTTTTTGTGGGGGAAAATCCTTCTAATTTTTTTCGTCTTCTTTAGGAAGTCGGGGTGAAACCAAAAATGATCTGCCAAATGTTCGTGGTGGGGAGTTCAGACCCATGGGAAGCGGACGTAATTCTCATTCTTCTTTTGACAATGGTTAGTTTTGTTTATGGGTCATGAAACTTTTTGATTCTTTGCTACACGTGAAGTATTGTGCTCAATATTTTCTTCCCTCTTTTTGCCACTGGGACATGTTTGATTACGTTTAAAATTTTATGATGTATCTAGGTACTTATAAACGTCGTGGTATGAGGGATGATGGCATTTCAGTAGGGGAAGGAAAACCCTTAAGAAGGGGAGGTCCTTCTAACTATGGTACCCATGAGGTGTGCTTTGTTTATTACAATGTTTCATATTTTAGTGTAGGCGGATGTGTTTTCACTGTGTGTTTTTACTGATTTGCTCACATGGACTACATGATGTTCATGCAGAAACAAGTGTGGGTCCAAAAGTCAAGTTCTGGTACTTAAGTTTTGTCATTAATGGTGAGCTTCAAAGTTGGCTGTTCATTTCTGTTGTCCAAGTTCTTTTCATTTTAGTGGTATTGGACAAAAGGCTTGATAGATGAAAATACCTATCCAAAAGAAATGCTTAATAGGTGAATAAATGAATGGCATTGAAGCACTACAATTGCCACAGCACTCATTCATTTAAATGTAGGAGTGGCACGAGATATACTTTATTGTCAACCTAGTTTGGTTATGCCTAAAAGTGCTAAGGTGGTAAACGCATGGCGTATTTCTTTTGGGTGAGTCCAATCTATCATTATTGATTCAAAGGTTGAGTCTTCAGTTTATCTGGTTTTTTCTGCAGCAAAAAGCTTGGTTTTGCCATATCAGGTATTCATGGCTAGTGGCTGGAGCTCTCTTTACTAGACACATCATGTATGAGCAAGGTTCCTGGAGCAAAGATAAGGATTTGAAGGCCTTAATGAAATTGTTGACTCACCAAGGTGGTTTAGAAACTGGTATATACTGCTAAACTAGTCTTTGATCTGACTGAATTGAAGATGGCTGGAATAGGGGCAAGAGGAAAGAAAGTCGTATCAGCGATATATACACCACAATTTTCAGCTGGTGCATATTTAGTCTCTTCATCGGTGATGTGGGTGTCCTTGTTACTGTGATTGATTCGGCTGATTATCAGATAATATAGTTCTATAGATGGAAGGTTTCTTTTGTTGAACTGTAAATACAAACATGGTCGTGCGCCCATAATCACACACATATGTTCATAGCCCCATATTAGTTCTAGGCTTGACTGATTGGAGATTGTCAAAGAAGCAGCTTGGGGTTGCTGCAATCGTGGTTGAAGCTTGTTAAAGTTGTCTAAGCATGGCCTTAAGGGCAAAGGTTGAAGAACGTAGATTCGTAGTCACTTGTTTTTGTGTATGGATGGGGTTGCTAGTCTAAAGGATGTTTTGCCGAAATGAAAAAAAGTGATGTTCTAAAACACTATAGTGCAATTTTTATATTTAGCAATTATATTGTACGGTTGCAGAAGGGAGCCTTGGTGTAACTGGTAAAGTTACGGCCATGTGACCAAGAGGTCACGGGTTCAAGACGTGGAAATGGCCTATTGCAAAAATGCAGACCCTTGTGGTCCGGCTTTTTCCCGGACCCCACACATTACGGGGGCTTAGTGCAGGCTGCCCCTTTTTTATTGTACGGTTGCAGATTTAACTTTCTTTCCTGACAAGAGACCCCCATAATCCTCTGCCGAGGTTCAGGCAGAAAATGGATTCTTACGGCAACGTGAGTGGCTTTTTCGTGCTTGGATGCATACATTAAATAAAATGTCAATGGTTGTCATAATATATCAACGGATGTATTTTTATTTTTTTTAAAGGAAGCTGCTAAAGACAGCGACGCAAATTTTTTGATGAAGTGCGGAACAATACGTGAAGGTTCAAGTGTCCCTAGCTACAATGATAAGTTGTTGTCGAAGCTTCAAGGTCTAGTCAGATTTTTCCTGATTCAATGATCCGTTGTCAATTCACAACAATGCGATGCAATAACCTTATTTTTAGCTATCTAAATTATTATCTTCATTTTTGTCGTTTCTAGTCAAACTCATTTTAAGAAAATATACGATTACCAAAATATTTTTTGTCGTTTTACTCGAGAACTATTATTGATAAAAGAATTATTATATATATCCAGTTTTCTTTAGATACTGTATATTGGTATGGCAGTGGCAGTTGTATCAGTCATCGGTACACAATTAGAGTTAAAACGATAATATGATGTGACTATGAAGATTATAACTGAAGCCAAGTCCCACTATGTACAGTAACAGCAGAATATTTTAACTAGTCCAATTTGTCTCGCATCCCAGGATTTTCAGATTTGTATCATTTGCATACAAATGAATATGGATTTGTTCTTCAGCCTTCCTTGCATGTATCTTGTCTCAATTCTACGTGTAAAATAGTTGACAACCTCTGATTGTGTCGCTAATCCACGTTGGAGCGTGTGTAACTCACATATTAGACTTGTAGGACGCGTGTGTTTACGAGTTCAACTTTATACAAGTTGAAGTCTATATGTATGTGCACTCCCAAAGTTAGAGTGTTTACTTGTCAGCTGAAGCCAAATTTGAGTGCCGGTTTTTGTATTTGGCCATGTTCAATCATTTCATACCATTGAGGCATTGACTATTAAGGGCATCTTCAACCCTTGCACCATTTTTTTTACACCAAAATGGTATAAACACCAAAATGGTAAACTGCAATCCATTACATTATTTTTCACACCAAGAAAGAATATTCCTTTTATATTCTTCTCTCTTCTATATTATATTATTTTATTTATAAAGCAATTTTTTTTTTTTTACATATTTATACCATATAATTCATATTTCTTTCTTATATAACAATTTAATATAAAATTATTTTATGCCTTTAATTTTTAAATAATATAAATTATAAGCAAATATTATACATATTAATTATAATTCAAATAAAAATAAAATCATTTATAAGATATAATTAAATAAATATTACATTATGATAAAATTTAGATTAATTTTTACATAAATATCAACTTACAAGATTAGTATGTTGCTCCCATAAATGCTCTATTGATGCATTATGAAGTGCAAAATGAGCATCTTTGTCCTTAATTTTTTTCCGCCGAGCTAAAAGTTGTTCAAATTGATAATTTTCATCTACTACCATTTCTACTGTTGGAGTTGGACCTTCCCAAGCATCTTGAATTGTTGCATTAAGATCACGTTCATCCTCGATTATCATGTTGTGCAGTATAATACATGCAGTTAATATATTATGGAGCACTTCTTTCCTCCAAAAACATGATGGCCCTACAATAATTGCAAAACGAGATTGCAAATCCAGCTGATGGTTGAGATTAATATGAAATCCATCCAACGGTTGTTGTAATTTTTATACAATTATACTTACAATAAAATTAACTATCAATTTTATATAAAAATAAAATATTCGAAAATTAATTTATAAAAATTATACACCAAAATTAAAATATAAAATTAATATTATAAAGATATTACATAAAAATTATAATTAATTACAAAATTATAGTGTGTTAAATTAAAAGAGTTATATAATAAAAGATAATATTAAAATAATGGTGAATAGTAATGGTGTTGATGAATAGTATTACACCAAATTTGGTGTAACACTATTCACACACTAAAATGGTGTAAGAAATGGTGTTGGATTGGAGCAAAAAAACACTAAATCTTACACTAAGATGATATTTGGTGTCAAAATTGGTGTTGGGTTGGAGATGGTCTATCAAATATACATGGCTTTTTACACTCTCTAAATAATGAAGCTTGTTGCTGTGCAGTTTTGAGTTTCATCATAGCGCAAAAATAGTCTAACTATACTGAGTTCCGTGAACTAGATAGAAATAATTCATGTAGTCATACTTCAACTATTTGGGACCGAGAAAGTAGTTTATTGATTTTTTGGTATGTTTTGTTGTGTGCACAGAATAGGAAGAAGAAAATTGATGGGGGATTCAATCTGATAATTGTGCATTCAAAAGTCACCCTCCAGGACCATAAGATTTGGTATGCTTTTAACATCACTTTTGTCTTTGCTTTTGATGATTGTTGTAAAAGCTTGTTGCTTGGCTGCATGCCTAGGGCCACTACTTTTCTCTCACATAAATCATAATGCATATAATTTGGGATTCTTTCTTGTGGTATGAAAACTTTCATACTATCACTGGATGCAGTGGCATGATTGTTAGGCTCCAAAACTTAGCGGTGGTAATTGGTTAAAAGAAAATAGTTATCCAACTATATTATCCATTAAAAATGTATTGGATAATGAACTATTTAAAAATGGGTCAAATATGGAAAAGAACCATATTATCCACTTAGAAAATGGATAACTAGCTGATAACTAATGGGTTAACTTTTACATTTGTAAAGCCTTAAATCGGGGGTTCCTTAAATTTGAGAGACTAGAAATTCTCCCAAAAGTGATCATATTCAAGAAGCCATGGATAATATGGATATTCATATTATCCGCGCGATTAACCCATTTTTTATTAGTATTAAATATGGGTCGGATTGGATAATTTATCCATTTTTTACATTACCTGTTTTCGGCCCGCTCATATCCGTCCCGACCTGCCCGTTTGTCACCCCTTTAGCAAGAAGTTTCAAATTCAAGCCCTTAGAGTCAGAACCTTCTTATAAGGAGCACTTTATTTCCTTAGTAGAACTCGAGCGTTTAAGTCGAAATCCTTATTATAAGGGAGGGGTACTTTACCTTCTTAACTGGTCTACCTAACGCGAATCTAAATTAGTCGGACTAGTTAGTCTTGTCTAAAAAGAAAAAAGAACTTCACTAGCATTATCTACCTAATTTTACATCCTACAATGAGAATAGGTGTAGGTCAAGTGACATGTTACCGGCCACTCATAGGACCGACCAGTCTAAGTTATAGTTACTTATCATTTTAATTTCCTTTCCCCTAACAACTTTGTTAAATAAAAGTTTCATATAGTTTACCTACACATTTTACATTACTAGTGTTATTACTTTATTTTAATTTATTTTTCTTTTTTGAGTAAAATGATGCACATAAAAGGAAACACATCAAAGACAACCATACAAAGAGATGTTATTTACTCATATAAAGAGAGAAATGAACTATTTTTGTGCCCTTTAAATAGTCAAAATTATTACTCCATTTATATGATCTAGAAAAGAAAGAAAAGTAACCTTTTCGGCAAAGTAAAAAACACATCAATGAAGATATTACAAATCAAATGAGATGGTTTTCAATTATAGAAAACCATAAAAAAGTTGTTATTTATTACTCACAAAAAAAGAGAAAGAGGCTGTTTTCGTGCTCTTTAGATATCCAAAAGCGTTATTTACATGATCTAGAAAAGAAAGAAAATTGACTCGATTGGACTAAGAGCCCGTTTGGCCAAGCTGCCAAAAACTACTTATTTTGAAAAGCGCTTTTGTTCAAAAGTGCTTTATGAAAAAGTACTTTTGCAAAATAAGTAGTTTGTGTTTGGCCGATTCGTTTGAGTAGTGCTTTTTGCAAGCTCATTGTGTTTGGCCAATCTTTTAAAAAAGTACTTTTAACTATCAAATTACGAAAAAGGACAATAAAGGTTCAATTTTCGATTAGTATTATTTATAAAAGAAAAATAAATTTAAACATTTATTAGAAAAGAATTCAGTTAAAATATAAAATGTAAAATAAAAATATAAAGTCAAAATTGTAATTAATATAAAATATAGTTATTCCAAAGCAATAATATTGAGTGTTTGGTATTATTTATTATTTACATTATAATTTAAATATATCAAAATACATCATTCAATATAAGTTTAAAATCTACTCTTATGAATAGGAGAAAGAGAATAAAAATAATCAAAATAAAAAAGAGAATAAATGCATAGCAGAAATAAAAAGGAATAGGAAAAGAAAAGGAAAAATTAAATTAATGAGGGATAATTTGAAAAAAATATAAATTTGTTGTAAGGTTATTTTTGTCTTGAATAAATTAACTTTCTTCTTCTACTTCTATTTTTTTTAAGAAGCTAGAATTTGTAGCTTCTTCACAGAAGTACTTTTTTTATTTTGATCAAACACCTTAAATTTTTCAAAAGGTACTTTTTTGATCAAAATAAGTATTTTGGCCTCCTACAAACTTGGTCAAACAGGCTCTAACCACTCAACTATAAAATTGTCAAACTCGTGCCTTCTTTATATCATTTTTCTCATATTCTTTCTAATCAGATGTTCGGATAATAAGTGTTCAACAATTTAACCTCGAGAAGTATACTTATTAGTGTGCTATTATGTAGGTTGATTGGTGTAGACTGTAGGGGCAGCTTTAATTGGAAAGTATAAAAGGATAAAGTTTGGACAGAGGACTTCGTCTCAAAAGGAAATAAAAAAGTGACATAAAAGTCAACAACGTGGGATGGTGGTCTATGTTTTCTTTTCCTCTCTAAATCATAGTCTGGAAAGACAAAAGTGGTGAATTTTTCTAATATGAATTGTTGATCTGATGCGAGAAATTTTTTACCAGATCATAAAAATATTTTTCATTTTGGTTGTTGTTACTTCATAACCGTCAAATTAGCTGTTATGTTTTAACTTATAAATTGAACTTTTGCTCCTTTGTGAAAACACTGAAATATCCTCTTTTACTTTTGCTTCTCTGCTTGTTTTACCTTATCGATTTCTATTATTTTCTACTCTTAGTTTATAATTAACTAAAAGAAATTGTTGAATCATAACGATACATCATTAATACATCACACTTTGGGTTATAACTCGTATTTCAACCCATTCTGATCCATGCAGATTCTCCTTTTAATTAGTTTGAATTCTGATCCGTCTATTACTATAATTCGTTTAACCTTGTTTAGATCAAGCCATAGGTACGCCATGTCTGAGCTTCACGGAAGATTCGAGAGTAGAGATGAAGAGAGAAGAGATAGAGATTGAAAATGTTCAGGTCATTTTCTTAAGTGACTAAAATGATATGTAATGTACACCTAATATAACAAACTAACCGACATTTTACACTTAACCATTGACTAACTACTTATCTACACCTTCTAGAACAATACTAGTTAAATAGCTTTAGGTACAACTATACTAAGCTAATAATTTCTACACTCCCCCTCAAGTTGAGAATGGAAAATATTTTTCATTCCCAACTTGGAGACCAGAACTGCGTGATGTTAGTGTCCTAAAGCCTATGTTAAAATGTCACCTGGTTGCTCATTACTTTCTATGTGTGCAATCTTGATTAACCCCTCTTGAATCTTCTCCCTTATGAAATGTCAATCAATTTTTATGTGTTTTGTTCTTTCATGGTAGATGGGATTTGCAGCAGTTTGTAGCGTAGCTTTATTGTCACAATATAGCTCCATAGGTTCTTTAATATCTACTGTTAGCTCCTTGAGTAAACCATTTAACTATGTCAACTCTGCCATTGTATGCGCCATACTTCTGTACTCAACTTCAGCTGAGCTCCTCGAGATAGTAGTCTGCTTCTTTACTTTCCATGAGATAACAAAACTCCCCAACTTGATACAGAAACCTGTAATTGACTTCCTGGACATGGGACATGATCCCCAGTCTGAATCACATAATCCCTTAACACTTTCTGCACTATTGCTTGACATAAGAAGTCCAAGTCCAGGCTGATCCTTGATGTACCTCACAACATGTAGTGCAGCTTCATAATGAGACTTCTTTGAAGCATGCATAAATTGGCTTTAGACATTATACTGCATATGCAATGTCAGGTCTTGTGATTGTCAAATACAGAAGCTTGCCAACCAGTCTTTGAAAAAAACTTCTGTCCTCCAAGATACTGTCAAGTGTTCCTATTCTCAATTTTATCAAACTCTGTGCTTGCAAGTTTCAAGTTCTGTTCCATTGGAGTCTTCTTGGGCTTTGATCCTGAGAGTCCTGCCTACTTTCTCTGAGACAAAAAAATGCCTTTTGCTGATCTAGAAATTTCAATTCCTAGGAAGTATCTCAATTCTCCAAGATCTTTCAGTTTGAAGTTCTGATGCAAGGCTGCTTTTGATGTATTAATCTCCTCTTGATCATTTCCTGTAATAAGTAAGTCATCTACATAGACAAGTACAAGAACAAACTTTCCATTAGTTGTTTTAGTAAACAATGAGTAATCATGTCTGCTTTGATGAAAGCCAGACTTGAGAGGTGCTTATGTTAGTTTCATCCATTGCTTTGAAGCTTGTTTCAAGCCATAAAGGGATTTGAGTAGTCTACACAACATATGCTCCCCCTGGCTACCAAACCCCTAAGGCATAATCATGTAAAATTATTTATGTAAATCTCCATTTAAAAAAGTATTATGTACATCCATTTGGTAGATTGGCCATTTTCTGAGTGCAACAACTGCTATAACAGTCCTCACTATGGTTATTTTGGCCACATGTGAGAAGGTGTCATGAAAATCAATCCCCTCCTGCTGGGTATAACCATTGGCTACCAGTTTGGACTTAAACCTTTCTATTGTGCCATCAGCATCGTACTTAATTTTGTCACCCATTTACATCCTATAGGGACTTTGCTAGAAGGCAAATTCACTACTTCCCAAGTGTTGTTTTGTTCTAATGCTTCAATCTCAAGTTTCATAGCCTTGATCCACCTGTCATCTTTAATAGCTTAGGAAAATGAGGCTGGTTCAGTGTCAGAAGAAAAAGAAGCTAGGTTGGATTGAAACATAGGAGAAAGATGAGATTAAGAAATGAATTGATGTATACAATAAAGAGATGAAGTAGAGGCAAAAGTAGAAGGCAGAAAAGGATGCACATAGTTAGTCAGCCATATGGGAGGTTTAGAGATCCTCCCTGACTTCCTGACTTGTATGGGGATGGTAACTGGGAATAGTACTTGCGTCAGGGGCCATATCATGAGTATCATATGATGACTCAGCATGCAAAGAAGGAGAACAAGAGGGAGAATGAGTAGGAGAGGAAGGAGAGTTAACATGAGAATCAGAGAAAGTAGTAGGTGAGTCTACCGACCCACTTGAAAGGTCAAGTGCAGTGACTTCTGGTTCAATATTGGTAGAGAGTTCTATTTTTATGTTGGAAGAAGGAAAGATATCTGGGACAATGTGACTAGGATTTGGATCAAGGATAACTAAGAATATGTGTTTATGGTGCTTGAAAAGAAAGATCCCTTCTTTGAAGACAACATCCCTACTAATCATGGATTTGTTAGCAGCAATATCATATACTCTATATCCTTTTTGTGTTGGTGCATACCCCATGAAGAATCCAGGAATAGAATTAGGGTTAAATTTGTCATGGATATCAGTCTTTGTGGCATAGCAACAGCACCCTATTATTCTCACATGGTCAAAAGAAGGTGGTTTTCCATGGAACATCTCATAGGAATATTTTTCTTGTAGAACATAACTGGGAAGTCTATTAATGATGTAGGTTGCTGTTAGAATGCAATCACCCCAGAATTTTAAGGGTGTGTTGGCTTGAAATCGTAAAGCTCTTCCTATTTCAAGAAGGTGCATGTGCTTTCTCTCCACAACTCCATTCTGTTGTGGAGTGTGCACACAACTACTTTGGTGAATTATTCCTTTGGACTCGAAGAGATTGAAACAAAGAGTGTTGAAGAATTCATGACCATTATCTGACCTGACACATTTGATGGTACTACCAAACTGATTTTCTACTAATTGAAGGAAATCCCTCAAAACAATATACACATCACTCTTTAGTCTCAAGAGAAAAGTTCATGCCATTTTAGTATAGTCATCCACAAGAGTTAGGGAGTATTTGAAGCCATTATAAGTACATACTCTATAGGGACCCCAAATATCCATATAGACTAGTTCAAAAGAGCAAACAAATTTAGAAGTACTAATGGGAAATTTAATTCTAACTTGTCAAAGAGGACAAACATGACAATTACCAGTGGATGTCTTAGACAAGTACTTATATATTTCAGGTATATTTTGTAAGACCGTCATAGGGGCATGTCCTAGTCTTTGATGCCACAAGAAGCTTGAGCTTGGCTGATGTGAGACTGTCATACAGTTGGAAGAAGAAGGGGTAGTAGCAGGTGCTGAAGGATTGAAGATGTAGAGCCCTCCTCTAAGTCTACCAATCCCCTTCACCATGCCACTGGAGAGGTCCTGAAAGATAAAAAAATCAGGATAAAAGTGGACAGAACTATTTAACTCTTTAGTGTATTTGGAGATAGACAACAGGTTATATATGAATTCAGGTACATAGAGCACACCATGAATGGTTTCTGAGTTAAATAGATTGCAAGAACCAATGCGAGTAATTTTTGTGCTATTACCATTAGGCGGATGTATAGAGGAATATTTAGGCTAAGGTATTCGAGTAACACTTGACAAGAGATTCAAGGATAATCCCATATGATTTGAACCACCAGACAACAGCTTTGTTCAGTCAGTGATTTACCTGCCATGTTAGCAACTTCTGTTGGCTGAGGTTCTTTACTTAAGAGCTTGAGAATCTGCTGATACTGTTCTGGAGTGAAGGCCTGCACAGTTGGAATATTTTGCATATTATATGCATATCCTGCATTCTGAAACTCATCCTCTGCATTCACAATATGTGCCATAGGTCCACTATTGTCTTTTGTTCCTCTCCTCTTATTGTTGTTGAACTTAAAACCTGGTGGATATCCATTCAGCTTATAACAAGTGTCCCTTGTATGTCCTTTCAACTTGTAGTAGTCACATATCAACATAGTGTTCCTCCTAGGTCTCATGTTGGAAGCATTGGCAGTTACAAGTGCATTGTTGTCTATACCTACAGGTGCGCCACATAGAATCCCATTCTGTGTAGCAGACCAACTACTCATTCTTTCCTTTCCTCTTGAATGGTCATAGAGTATGCTTGATCAAGTGCTGGTGTTGGATGCATCATTAGTATCTGACTTCTTTGTGGTGCATAAGTTTCATTAATCCCATTAGAAACCTCATAAGTTTCTAATGGTGTAAGAACACAATAAATTATCTGAACTTCTCACAGTCACAACCAGGAAAAGAGATAATCGACTCAAATTCATCCCACAGATCATTCAACCTAGAAAAGTACACATATACACTAGAGATTCCTAGTATTAAGGAACTTATTTCCTTGTTCATATGATAGATTTTTGTGGCATTCACCTTATCAAATCTATCTTTCATGGATTTCCACACCTTTTGCGCATCTGAAGAGTATACAATTCCTCTTCTAAGTTCTGATGCTACTGAACTCCTTATCCATGATTGGACTTGGACATTACACTGTTCCCATTGCCTTAACCTAAAAATGTCTTTCTCATATTATTCTGTCGTACAGTTTTCATCTATAAAACCTAGTTTAATTTTCACCAGTAGTGACATTATCATAGATCTACTCCACTCCGAATAATTTTCTGTTCCTATTAGTAATTCTGGCATAAGTGAGATACTCTGCGTGTCCGAATGATGCACATATAGCGGATCATTGCAATAGATTGTTTGAGTGTTTGCATGTGATGATCCAGCACTCACATCAGGAGTATCAATTGCCATTTCAGCAAAAATTTGTTGAATTTTGAAGGTTTCACAAGCAATGAACAATTTCATGAAAAAACGAGAAACTTTGGGGGAAAATGTTCATGAGATGTTGAAGCTCGACTGTAAGAATCGCATGGAGCCGGGCTTTGATATCATGTTAAGATCAAGCCCTAGGTCCGCCATGTCTGAGCTTCACAGAAGATTCAAGAGTAGAGATGAGGAGAGAAGAGATATAGAGCGAAAATGTTCAACTCATTTTCTTAAGTGACTAAAATGAAATGTAATGTACACCTAATATAATATGCTAACCGACCTTTTACACTCAACCATCAACTAACTACTTATCTACACCTTCTAGAACAGTACTAGTTAAATAGCTTTAGGTACAACTATACTAAGCTAATAATTTCTACGAACCTGTTCAAATTTGACCCGACCCGTCCACTTAACACCCGTAATCGCTATTAACAAAAGATCTTTGAAGACTGTGTTCTTAGCACCGCTAACTTGTTGAAAATGTAAACAGTGGACCCTCAAAGCTTGGACCACAAGAATAAAATGATGACACGTGTACTTAGCACGTGAGATGTAATGTCCTTATCCTATGCTTAAACGGTGGGGTCACGTGACATGTCTTGGTTTAAATAATGAACAGCATTTGGTGACCCAGAAGAATAAAAATGTCTGCATCAGTATTATGGGCCAAGAATTCTAGCCCAGCGCTTCGACATGTCGCTCATAGGCTTATCTACTTGCTTCTTAATTTACAAAGTTTGCACCCCACCAAATTGATGCTTTAACTTTGCCGAATTAACCCTGAGGGGTAGCTCGGTTGGTAAAGGCCTGAGGACAAAGTCCTTCAGGTCGTCAGTTCGAGCCCCCGAAGGGTCACTGGAGGCATTACAAACCGGCCGCGTCCCCGGGGCCCGTGGAACTAACCGTGGTGTACGCATTGAAACAGCGGGTCCCGGTGGGTACAGCTAGTCGGGTTCGCAAAGCGATGCCCGGAAACCACGGTAAAAAAAAAAAAAAAAAAATTTGCCGAATTTGGTATTTGATGCAGCGCTAAAGTGGAAATATCATTTACCCATAAACTTTCATATTCAAAATGAAGTTAGAGATAAATTCAAGAATTTAAGTTAGTGATATCAATGAATTCCATTTTAGTATGAAGACTATGGATTAATGTTCTTATGCTATGTTGCATTTGATTGAAAAATTCATTCATAAGTGTAATTTCATAAAAAATTTGAAAAAATCTTTTTCATATTTATAAGTGAATAATAACAACAATAATCTTTTTACTTCAAAAAAAATAATATTTGGCTTCTAAAGGTTCATTTCCTCCCATAATTTTAAAAAGATTGGTAGTTCTTTATATTTTTATGTAGCCCCAACACAAGGCGCCATTTTGATAACATTAAACGGACAAAAGGGAACTTGTTTTAACGATTGGAAGTTATGTTGAGAATTTAACTATCAATGTATTTTTCCTTGTGTGAATCATATTTCATAACATAATAAAAAGGGTATATTATACATATGGAATTTTTTCAAATAGTCAAAGCTCTTGTTTTTTATTTAGAAAACTTGGATCTCGTCTTTGGATTTATGTGATTGTTTGGTTTTACTTGGTTGCTTCTATTAACATTTATTTATATTTATATAGGGCTTTTTTCACTTTTAATTCGTGTCAGAAACTATTTATTTTTGATAGCTGAAAGAGTATATAAAATTTGTATAAGTTAGAGAGAATTAAGCAAAGAATCGAGAACAACAATTGCAGTTTGACATTTATTAACTCCAATGTAATGTAATTATTAAAAAAAAATTAATATAGTTAATATATTGATATGAATTTTTCACATAATATGTGTGATTTTGATTCTCACGGTCCTTTTCCCTTTCACCTAAAAAAATTTACTAGTCGATATACTCCTTCCGGTTAACTTTAATTAATTTTTTGGTATTTTTCTTGTAGTTAACAATATTTGATTTTTTGAGAT